ATATTTATAATATGTATTTAAAGTTATATATATATGTAGTATATCAACTATCTGATATCCATAACACAAGCCTCGTAGCTTAACATGGAACTAGAATGCATTTACGCACGACGTGTGGAACTCACCGGCGTAATACAGCCAGTACTACCCACTAAAACCCAACAAAACCTTCCCCCGTCTTAATGGGGCGTCGCAGGATCGCTTACGCATTCAACTACGACGCCCCGACGGCAGGTCTGCCGAAGCAGACCACCACAACCATGGGGTTGCTCCACAGTCCACTCTGCTATCAGAGAAGTACCAGGAGCAACCCGCATGGTACACCGCCCCCCGAAGAGGGCCACCTCCCACCGCCCACCGAAGTGGGCAACCTCCCTGTGCGTTTCTTAGCTTCGCGCCCGGTTGGATTGCCGGGCACTACTGAGCCCCCCCACCACGACAAGGTGAACGCACGTTGGGGGGGAACATGGAACTAGATGGTGTTGTGTTAATGTCCCAACATATTTATTTATTTATTTTATCTTTCTCCACACCGAAAGTAGAGGGTCCAAGTATCGCTTAATTCGAATACATACGTATCTAATATGTATGTGCCATACAAACACTGTCCAAAGTCATGTTTAATATGTCTCAGATATCTAGTACGTAATAGCGTTTTTAATGCTCGTAAGGTTATTTATTTCTTATTTCTTATTTTTTTATTAAATATAAAGTAAGCCGCTAGTAACAAAATAATATATATTTAATTATTTACATCAAACCAAGCGTTGTACGTCATCATTATGTCAATATTTTCTATTTAAAACTATTAATGAATCATATTTGTATGCGTTGGGTCGATTAAGAAATGCTAATCCACATCCGCGCGGGTCGTGCAAATACTATAATCACTTATAGTGCGGGCATACTAATCACCCATGTGTCTTAAATCACGGCTGTTTATCTTAGGACACCTTGTTTTATTCATATAATTCGTATCTAAATTAATTAACAGCTGCCAGATTGAAGATGTCGTCTCAATAGGAAATATACGTGATTTTTTTAATACAATATTTCTAACATCGTTATAAAATTGTCAAAAAAAATATCCAGCTTCGAAAAAATACGTAAAAAAATATTGATATATGTTTAATTCAAAAGCCATAAAGATTGTAAAAAAAATAGTTCACCTTTATTACGTGTGATTTAATCACACGCATATTATCTATTGTGTCATCACATTCATATTTGAAAGATACCAGTTCCTCACTATTTTCAACCGACTTCAAAAAGGAGGAGGTTCTCACTTCGACTGTATTTTTTTTTATGTTATGTAAACTTTGAAAAATGGAATATTACCTAATGATTTTCGTAAATATGATTTACTTAGATTTACATCATTTATTTTTATTTAGCTTATAATATAGGTAGATATATTTAGTTTATTTATTTTTAGTTAGGCAGTAGTACCCTAGTGGTAGTACGATCACTTGAAAAATCTAGTGAAGCGGGTTCAAACCCGATTCTCGCAACTCTAATACATATTTTCATATACGAATCATTGTTAACATTGTTATCACTCGCCTCACAGCGAATGAACATCGTCAGGAAACCTGCATGTCTGAGAGAAACTAACTAGTTTTCGAAAGACATTTGAAGCCCGAATGCGAAATCGACACTTGGCTAGCGAGCTGGCCTATGCTTTGAATCCCGCCCATTGAAAAACCTTTTGAGAGACCCGTGAGGATTATGTTTGTACATTTTACATATAAGAACTAGGTTAATTGAACTTAAATCTAATATTGCACGGGTAAATCTGCCAAGACAGATCAAACCGACTACGGATATAACAGAATTATAAACAATTTATAATATATTAAATCCCGATAGCGTTACCACAATTCTGTGTGATGGAAGGATAATCCAAAAAATACATAACATATGAAATTAAATAATCTTTAAGTTTTTTATAAAGTACAAATAAGACGTGTCAAATTAAGGCCTGTTCTACTGTGCAGGCAGTGCCTCCCTGTGCGTTTCTTGGCTTCGCGCCCGGTTGGGTTGCCGGGCACTACTGAGCCCCCTCCACCACGACAACGTTGGGGGGAGGCTTACTCTAAGACCTAACGTGTATGATCATCGTCATGTTCGGCAATATAGAGAAAAGAGTGAGTTGTCATTATCTTCTCTACAAGACATAGCGAGAGTGATAACATCAATTCTTAAGGAAATGATAAATATACGCAATAAATCGCGGTTTTAAAGTCTGCGTTTTTACTAGATTAAGGAAAAATCTATACGTTTTGTTATGGAAGGGCGGTGTCTCCTAATACAGACAAAACTTACTTGCTTCAAAGGGGACCTCAACCACAAACTTTATCAATACTGTCAACAATCTCTTAATGCAAATATTTTTTTTTTATATAAATCTCAGCCATATCGTCCAAAAAGCAAGCCGCTACTAAGCACTTATAGAATTGATTTTCTTCTTATTGTAAGTGGCAACAATAGTTACGTTTTGACATGTAATGTCTGATTACCAATAACTTATTTTAATCTTTTATTTAGTTCCACACTTCCGCAAATTGAATGTTTCTTATCCGAAAGACGATCATTTAGCGCCAAGAAATACATATGCGGAAGGAAACAGTAGTTAGTATGTTTTGGGCTTTTTAAGTATTATAGGCAATATGTATGTATGTATATACGTATGTATATATACAAGTACACCGTCTACCATTTTGTATACTGATTCCTCTACCCTAAGGTTGCCTGGAAGAGATCGCTTCTAGCGATAAGGCCGCCTGCTGTGCATCTTTTTATTGTTATATATTTCATTTCTTTATTTATTTCTTATGTGTTGTGTAATAACATGTCCATTATTATTATGTTCACAAATTATAAACTGACCAGCGACTTATCCCTATTTCGCTCGTTGTGATACTAAGTGTCGAACGGTAGCCTAAATATTAGTCCAGGTCATAGTTTATGTGTATACTTAATTTTACCTAAACCCGTCGCCGTTTCAACTTAAGAAGTAAACATATACACATACTAATTTTCGCATTTATAGTACAAGTCTGATGTTCATAATTCTTTATTTTAACCAATAGTTTTTACATAATACTTTCTTAGATTTACGCGAATTGTCGACTTTTGAATAGAACTCCCTTTACGGATTTTATCGCGGATTTATTTCGATATTTCGTTCCCGATGTTTCGAATGGTAGAGAATGTTTCTCCCGTGACCATGATTACTGTAAATGGTCGAGAACCAAAAATCAAAATAAATCCCCGAAAAAATCCGAAAAGAAAGAAAAACCGGCTGTGCCATATAAAGAAGAAAAACTTGCACCGCTATTTACTTTTAATGTGATTTTACAGTCACTTTACATTTATAATTAAAAGTTGTTTCAGTGTTATTATACTACGTTTGTAGAAATATGTTTGACAAATAACTTTCAAATATGAGATGATAAATATTATTTGACCCCATCAAATAATTAATAGTACTGTCATTGCTATGTTTTCTCCGATCTCTGAGACAAAATGAAACTTATACGATACTAGCAATGCCCGCGGCTCCGCCCGCGTTCAGATGACCAAAAACCAAATTATTAGGTATTAAATATTAGTATACTCTTACTATATTTTTTGTATTTTTTCTCGGAAATGATATATTTTCCCGCCGTAAAAAGTATTCTATATGTTAACCCGAACACCCACCTATGACCATACCAAATTTCATCAAAATCCCTTTAGTGGTTTTTCTGTGATACGGTAACAGACAGACAGACAAAAATTCTAAAATTATAGATTCGGCCTATGTATCGATAACAGTGTCTATTTCAATAAGATTTTCCAAATAATATTTAATGTACAGATTCGGCTTAGTAACAATTTTATTATATGTATAGATAATACATAATTGGTAACAAAATGGAATAAAAACAGAGATTTATGTGTGAAATGTAAAATTTAGATAGTAATTTAAAACATTTAATATCTTTTATTGGTATATTTTATCATCAAAATATCTATATACATAATATGCAAAAATACTGTATGTAAGAAAATAGTAAAGTATCAAAATTTGACTTCAAGATTGTTAAAATATAAAAGGAGACAACCTTATGTAGATCACAACAGCCCAATCTACTGGAACTAGAATGTTTCGTAATAATAATAATAGATTTTTTACAAGTGTTCCTTATGACGAGTTAAATGGAAAGAAACGTTAGCGTGTAAGCTTGTTTGTTGTTATTTTTTTATAGATTTTATTAGAAATATGGAAATAGATATCAATCCCTCCACGACCGCGGACACGCCGGCGCGTCAGTCGTCAGTTAACAATAGATTTCCTAGAATTTTAATTTAATTGTCCATCATTTCTTAGAATTTTAATTAATTTATCTATTCTAAATGAAAACCTCCGTTTAGTTATTTTTTACATTTTAGTGCCTAGAAGTCGGTTTTTATTTTTTGTTAAAAAGTTTTTATTTTTCTATTTTTAGTTAAGACGTAATAAGCAGGTAATTTGTAAAAAGAAAGTTTTTTAATAACATATTCGATTAAGCAATTTATTTAAAAAATATATTTAATGTTGTTTTTTTTAAAAACCGCTCTATCGATTTCGATAAGTTCTGGCGTCTTCGAGTAATCGGTGAACATACATAAAAAAAAAGATTCCGACGAATTGATAACCTTTTGGAAACCTTTTTGGAAGTCAGTTAATAAACTCGTACTTTTAGTATTTCTACGAAGGGTTAGATGTGATCTTCTGTATTTCTACTACCTAATAACCAAAGAATGGCATTATTTAACATTTATCAAGTATTATTTAAAAACGCCAGAAGAAACACAACTAGCCCTTCTTACCATCCGGGAATACTCCCGTTCCTTTTCCCATTCTTCCTTCATTTTTTCACTCATTAAGCTATGACAAGTGTTTATAGGCTACAGTTACTGCTTACCTTTAGCCAGACTTATTTAGTATTACACAGTACAAGAAAAATCCTCACCTATCCTCCGATAGCACTTGATCAAACTCCGAAGATGACACTAAAAACAATATAGACGTAACAGAATCAAAGCACTGTGTCCACTTCTGCCGTTGAGTCCTTTGACCGCCCACATCCACGAATACGAATGGCACATTGTTTATATTGATTATACACTCCGTGATGCCTTTGGTCGCTTTCCGACAGTGCAGAATGTCTTGATGGGAAGGTACGTAATCTGGCCGGGCTATACGCTCGAGCTCGCCAAAGAAGTAACTCACAGAGTCGCTCTGAAAATTAGAAAAAAATAAATTAAGAAGTGATCCAACACTAAACAGTGAATATTTCGAGAAGGCATAGTCTAAGTATTATTTTTTTCGTAAAAAAGATGTAGACAGTAATTTCAAAAAATAATAATATACAAGAACTTAGTTATCAAAAATCTATAAATATAAATAATATAAAATACAAGCAATAGCTTGTAATTTAGATTCCATCATACACACGCCCACTTGAATTATACACCTGTACTGCTACCCATAAACAGACGTACCTAGGGACGAACCCGAGCGAAACGAGGGTGAGTCGCTAGTATAATACAGACATAAAGTAACAGCATATAATAAAATTTAATATACACTATACTATTTATTCCGAACAAGATAATATAAATATCTCTTTTGAAGTAAAGTCGTAAATCAGAAAAATTGATAATAAAATTTCATACATATCGCATGAAAACCTTAAATTTGTCATCACAACACGATCCTACTACATACATTTTGTGAGACGATATTGTTGCAGTGCAGCAAAGTTAAATGGGTTGATTATATATACGTGATATACGTGAACTATAAAACGGTTTCCTGAACAGTCTGGGCAGGCACGAAACGTGCACGAAAATCAATAGGAACTTCCAACGAGTGGGAGTTGCCAAATTATAACTACTCACTTGTATTTTATAGTTCATTTGTAAGGAGGAGAATATTTTTTTTATTTTTTATATACATATAAAAGATAATGTATTTTTGTCTTTAAAATGTATACGTATTTCCTGTACTTATCCATCTATACTAATATTATAAAGAGGAAAGATTTATTTTTTTGTTTGTTTGTTTTTCTATCCCGGAAATCATCTCCTAAGGGGTTAAAAATGAGGATGAAAGTTTGTATGGGGAAGCAACCTAGGGACGAACCCGAGCGAAGCGAAGGTGAGTCGCTATCAGTAATATTTTACTTTGGTGTCAAGTTGTTTCGGATAATTTATGAATTAGATAGTTTAAACATCATACTCTGTATGTATGTATTCAGTCCTTTTTAACGTCTCACTGCTAAGCACGGGTCTCCCTCAATACGAGGGGGATCAGGCAATAGTCCACCACGCTGGCCAAGTACGAGTTGCCGAACTTCACATGTCTTTCGAAAACTTGCTAGGACATGCATGTTTTCTCACGATGTTGTAAGTCACCGTAAGACAAGTAATAATCATGGCGACAGGTACCGCTTTCCATCTGGTGGGCTGTCTGCTCGTTTGTCACTGAATACCATAAAAAAAATGTTGAAAATGATTGGCACATGAAAATATCAGAGGTGCGAAACCCGGAATTTGAACCCTACCCCTACCATTCCCTAATCTGTGTATATATTGTATGTATGCATGTACATTGTACAGTACAGTACAGTCATTATCGTGTTAACATCATATAAATATACTAATCGCCTTTATGAAATATTGTAGTTAAATAAATCTTAGTGAGCACGGCCAGGATGTAGGTAAACAAGAAACAAGTGGCATTACACGAAAAAGAATTTATATTTGTGACATTCAACAAATTGCAGAATTGCATTAACCTTAAACTTCGAAATATAATCGGTACAATGATTTAAATAATGTGCATGTCATGGCGTCACGACTCCTTAATTAAACGTTTTTATTGTTGCACGTTAGTCACTATACGTTCGAAAATAATTTGCCAATGCATAAATGGTTTATGTATTGCATATTCAAAACTATGACCTACTAATGACCGAGATCCGTTGGTAAAGCCTTATGCAACTAAAATAAAAAAAACGTGTGTGTGTGTACTTATGTACGCACATAAGAACTTAAACTCTTTGGCGTAACAGAACATAAGTAAAGATTTCATCCCGATGTCACAACTCTCCGTTTGTAAAAGGAATGATAATTAATAAAATAATTAAATAAGACATATTAGGCATGTTACAATCATATATTTATAGAATATCATTTAAGGAATGAATATTATATTATATATAATTTGTCAGACAATAAATACGGTCACCATGGCAACAAACAGTTATCAGCTAACTTAATCATGTCGCTTTTTGGCTGTCGGTGTGCGCGTGCATCATAAAAATTTTACTCTCATAATTTTTTACAAAACGTCCCAAAAAAAGTATAACTTCAAAAAAACCTAAATGAGACCACTTAAACGCATCGGAATAAAAATCAACCTATGCCAGCTTAATAAACTATCTCTAAGCAAAATAATATTTGATTTAAAAAAACGTATTTTGATTATATAATAATATATGGCATTGACCAAATAGAATCAAATGAGCTCAAATTCGAATCGTTCCCTTATTACCATTAAGTTCTGGTCCCATCATCAGATCAGCTCGATGGAATTATATTATTGTATCGACTGTATTGTCATCCGGATCTAATATACTTAGAAAATTTTTTAACACCTCGCGGTTATTTTACAGCAATCATGGTCACGAGAGAGACTGATTGCTGTAAAGCAGTCGAAACGTCAGGAACCAAAAATCAAAATAAATCCGCGAAATAATCCAAAAACATAGTTTTATTTAAAATGTCAAATATTCGCGTAAATCTAAGAAAGTATTATGTGAACCTCGCGGTTAATTTCTAAGAATTCAATTGTTAACCGAGTCACCTGTGACTCGGTAGTCGCTGACAGGTTTAAAGGATAATTAGGCGCCAAACCAGACAAAGTAGGTCAAAATTGACTTTCCACATTTGTTTACATAGTGACGAGTGACACTATAGTGCGTTCAAATAAAAACCACGTCAATTCTAATCTTTGTCATCATGAAAAAGGACAAATCAACAAATTAAAGAATCATTTTCATATTAGCAAGGATTACTTCCCAGCAGTATTTTGTATTGTACCATGCGATTTACAATTATTATTTTTAATTCTTCAATGGCACATATAAAATTACCAAAATACAAATCAAAATTTTTGACAGTATTTTAAGGTTCAATATACTGTTCAAAGACATTATTCATTTCCGGTTGTCATATAATAAAAACCTTCAAAGAGCTTATTTGTTTAATAAGCCCTTTCCTTATCCTTTATCGAGCAAGAAATATTGCTTATATTATAATATTATCTGATAATAACGAATATAAAAATATGTCTTTAATAATGCTCAAACTTATTCATCAGATACTTACGTTTTAACATTAAGTATATAATTCTCAGAGATGAGATATTTTCCCGCAGTAAAAAGTATCCTATATGTTAACCCGGATAACCGGCTATCATCATACCAATTTCATCAAAATCTGTCGAGTGGTTTTTCGTGTGCGTTTCTAGATAGATAGACAAAAACTCCAAAAACTATTGATCGGCCTCTATATCGATAATAATGACTATTTCAATAAGATTTTCCAAAAATATTTAATGTACAGATTCGACTCAGAATTTTATTATATGTATAGTTTTATATAGCGTCCCTAGGTGACAGTTAAAGCTGAAAAATTTTTTTATAGCCCATTTTATTTTTATATAATACGGCTTTCTAGTAAGTACCGAGTTTATCGAAACACCTATAAAAATAGCTACATTTAAATTCCTATTAAGTTCTTAAAAACACCTAAAAAACCTTTAAAGATTTATCCACTAAGATCCATCGTTCTACCCAATAAATAGTACGTGGCTCAAATTCCAGTCCAAGACTATTAGCCTAAATGAGCAAAAATAAATTGGATGAACTCAAAGCCGTTGAAGCTAACAACGCATTTCATTGAATTCCATCTTATTCAGCCTTCAATCCATTCAGATTCATCTCTGCGTACGACATACCTATTTAACTAATGCCTCTCCGTTGACAGAACAGTATTTGTATTGAGGAACTCTACTGTACTAAAATGTATCTTTTGCAAATAATAGATATATATAGTAAACTGTTAGAATATACCCCCAAACCATGTCTTATGTCCGATTTACCAATAACCCATAAGCTACCACCTACGTATAGGATCCCTAGCTTAAAAGTCCCCTAAACTAGTCCCTAAATTAAATTTCGTTTTACGATCGTCTTTAAGCCCATATTTCGAGCACGTAAATTAAGAGGGCCATTTAATATTTAGGTGACCCCTAACTGTCGATGAAACAGAAACTGTCCCCTAACAGCCCCCTAACCATGCTTAGGGGATCCCTTAAACTTAGGTGACGTTGGTGGAATCGGGCATTAGTTAATTTTTTACATCATACTTATAGGTATATATGATACTTTTTATCCTGGTAAATATCAATTTTATGTATGTATGATGGAAGAACTTTACAAAAACACACACATTTTCACATTTATAAAAATAGGGATAGTACGTGCTGTAAATGACTTTAGTTAAGGAAAAGTTTACATGTTAAGGAAAATTTCACTGAAAACATAAAAATCATTAGTCATGAAGTCTGAAAATCAATAGCAATAGATAAAGTAAACACGTCACTTACAGAAATGTTAAAATATAATGGCTACTAGAATAATCTATCCATATAATGAAATTGTAACTAAGTCGAATCTGTAAATTAAGTATTTCTTGGAAAATCTAATTGAAATAGACATTATTATCGATACTGAGGCCGAATCTATAGTTTTTAGAATTTTTGTCTGTCTCTCGTCTGTCTGTCTGTTACCGCATCACGAGAAAACCACTGGACCGATTTTGATGAAATTTGATATGATGGTAGCTGGTTATCCGGGTCAACATATAGGATACTTTTTACCGCGGGAAAATATCTCATTTCTGAGAAACAATACAAAAACTGCAATTTAAGAGTATACTAATATGTAATACCTAAGAATTTGATTTTTGGTCATCTAAACGCGGGCGGAGCCGCGGGCACTGCTAATTTTAAATAAAACCATTATTTTGGAGGTTTTTTTAATTCATGTGGAACTACAAAATATTTTATTTACAAAAGATATTATTTACTATTTTAATATACAAGAGATTTTAATAAATCTTGAGTCTAAATTGAGCACTTCCTCTTTTTGAAATCGGTCAATAAATAAG